ACCGATGCCAAACGAGAAGGCAGTCTTTTCCTCCAAACACCACAAGCAGATGCTTTCTTGTCCAGCTGGCAGCTGCAGGGCAGAGGCAGAGCACAGGCTGGGTAAACCCCGTTTCTGCTCCCAGTGGAACATTGGATGCATTTTGGTGGCAGAGTTAAGCTCGCTGGCTCTGGGGCCACAGACCTGGATTCAGTGCCTGGCTTCCTCGCTTGGTGAGAGGTGTGACTGGCCATGTGCTCTCTGAGCCTGTTTCCACGTCTGTGAAATGGATTATTGAGAGGACTAAATGGGGTGATGGCCATGGTAAGAGAGCTAGCTACCATGGGCAGGAATTACTACCGTGGAGCTTGGGCTCCAAGTTGGAGGGGACGCTAGAGGTGGGTAGGAGCCCTCTCCATCTCCTGCCTCTGTAGTCATCACCGTGATGTCATTGTTGTCATCAGCAGCAGCACGTACTGAGCTTTTCCTGTATGCCAGGCACTGTTCTAACTTTCCATGCATTACCTCCGTTAGCGTGCAGCTCCACAAAGGGCTGTTATTGTCCCATTTCTCCAGCTGAGGTAAATGAGGCACAGGGGTAATTTGTCCAGGGTCACACAGCTAGTAGGTGGGAGAAGCAGCCTGACACCCAGGTAGTCTGCTCCAGCATCCATGCTCTTCACTGAAATGCACTTGGCATCCATTGCCACTGGGAAAATGTCCACTTGTCCCTGGTCGTGACACGCTGTGGAGTCTGCAAAGCAGCTCTTCGTCTTTTTCCTCTCCGTGGCTTCTCCCAAACAGGGATTTCGTGCCAGCTGAAGCTCATGAGCTGGTGGGACTGAGGATGCCGCGGAGGGGAGAGCTCAGGGCTGTTAGTGGTCAGAAAGAGCACGTGTGCTCTTAAATTAGGCATTTTCTAACTAAGCAAAAGTGTCTGGCGACGAAGGACTGCTGAGTAAATAAGACTCAGAAACAGCAGCTCCTGGAGTGGCTCAGAGAAGTAATGTGAGCAGCAGAGCCTTGGGGGAGGCGGGAGAGAACACGACACACGACACATGACCTGAGGATCCCCACCCCCGCCTTCTTTGTGTTTACAACTGGAAGGTTTAGAGAGGTCTCCAGCCAGGCCAAGGCCAACTGTGATTTCAGGATCTGCTTTCTCTGTGAGCCTAGTGGGACAGTTGCCATCCCTGCAGCCATCTTGGAGGAAATCGATTCAGGCTTGCCCTGTGGTTTTGCACCTGGACACAGGGAATTTAGGGTGACTCCGCTCCGTGGGACTGAGGATGGTATGGCTGGGCTGAGAGGAGGGACCGTGGCATGAGATGTGGACAGAAGGTGGATGCAAAGCTCAGGATGGGGAGACAGAAACAACTAGAAATGACCTCCAAGCAGGCAGGGAAAGCCAGATGGACCTACGGCTTGAGCAGATGAGAGTGAAGGGTCCTCAGCCAACCTTGGAGGGTTCATGCTGTGAAGTGTGAGTTAGCGGCAAGAGTCCAAGAAATGGGACCAGAGCTTCCTGCAAGAGGGAGGCAGAGGGTAGGGTCTGGCCCCAGGACAGGAGTAGATGTGGGGGCCTGGGCTGAGAGGGCCTTTGGAGGGGGCGGGGAGGGGGGGGATGTGTATGTGAAGAAAGTACACTAGGGATTGCTCTGAACAGGTTCGAAGGAGTTAAGGGCTGCCTTTAGGAGATAAAAGAATCTCAGGACTTGCTATTCCCTCACCCTCTAGCAGTGTCAGCTCTGTACCTGGTGTGCCTGCGGGCGGCTAAGCAGCAGGGAGAGAAGCCATGAGGGAGAAACCGGAGAGCAGAGACAGGGCAGGGCTCTGGCATTGGGTGGTCTGTCTGAGATCACACAGCACTGTCCTGTGATTTGATCTTGACTTGACAAGCCTCAAGTCTTTTAGGATTCGGGGTAGGCCTGAACTCATGGTAGGAGTTGGATTCTCAGATTCCGTCCCCCAGAAACAAACCCACTCATGTGTCTCCCTCCAGTAGACGGTCAGAAACAGCACCAGTTCTCTCAAGAACCCGCCATCCTGCTGAAGGCTACTGGCCTCAGCTTAAGAGATGAGCCCATTTTCCTGCAGTCGTCCCCAGGGGACAGGAGTGAGACTTCTCTGTACTCCTAGGTCAGCTCAGGAGGTTTCCTCTTCACCTGAATGGGGCGTGGGGCTTCTGTCCCACAGGCAGCCCTGACGTCTCACTGGTTTCCCTCCTGCATTAGCACTTCGTCAGAAACTGCCCTGTTCTGTGTTCAGTGTGACACTGTTTGCATATAAACATTTGGTTACCTCTGGGAACCTCCTTTAAAGTTTTAACAGTTAGCCTTAGAAGAGATGAGAGCTGTGCTGTGATAACTTGATACCTTGCCTATAAAGTTCCCAAGAATTTAAGTCTATTCCCAGCACTATTTTTTTTTTGCTGAGCCATCCTGCCACCTATTGGCAGCTCAGCGGCAGCTCAGCTCGGGCCAGGAATCGAACCGGCGACCCTGCTGCTCATAGCTCGCACTCTTGAGCAAGCTTTNTTTTTTTGAGGAGGTGAGGCATTTTTATCATTTTTATCACAGTCCCAAATTACTTCTTGTTTTGTTTACGAATGTAATCCTTGCTCAGACATTATGTTCTGAAAACCATAATAAAATTAACGGTTGGTTCTTTAAACAATAAAAACAAACAAACACAAAAAAACCAAAAAACAGTTTACAAGATGTGCCAGAAGAAATGATTCAGGCCATAGTTTCTTTTTTCACCTGGGTAATTATTTAAGCTCAACTAAATCACTCAGTGTAGATGAATGTTCAACTAGCTGAGGGAGAAAAATATTATGTGTGAAGAACAAAAAGACCTTAGAACTTTCACAGAGGGACACACCAGGCAAAGGTGTTTTCTTTTCACTAGGAACTGACTCTGGATCAGGTGGCACCAATGACACTCTCAACCCTTTCCTGCTGAGAACCGATTTCTCCCTGGCGTGCTGTCTACCCAGGCCAGTGAGGCCCGGGTGGACCTGTTAAATTTCCCAAATTTCTCTGCAGGTTTGTAAGTGGTTTTCAGTTTCGCTAGTGTTGAGTGTGGAATGAGGTCAGATGGAGTAAATGGGATCTGGTGGGTTAAATCGCAGGCCTGACAAGTGCCAGGATCCTGCTGAATGACTCGTTCAGCTTTGAATCTGACGTACTGGGTAGGGGAGCCTCCTGTGTGTGGTGCTGAGCGAAGGTCTGCCAGGATTTGCGTTATTGGGCTTTCCGGTGCTGAATGGAGACCTTGTGCGTCCCTCCCTCAGATGCCTGCCCTTAGGAATTGCTCCCCCCAAATCTCAGTGGCTTGGTAAATAACGCCCTTCCCTCCTGACTGCTACAGAGCTTCTCTTCTGGGATTTGAGGATCCATTTAAGGACACAGGCAAGTTAGCAGGCCGTGATGTAACCAGAGGGAAGGCCAAAACGTAGACACCAAACTGATCACAGAAGGAACATCAAAATGTAATTAAATTTCACCTCTATTATGTCTTTGCAAGTTGCTAAGAGAGTAGATCTTAAAAGTTCTCATCACAAGGATAAAAAAAATTGGGTACTTTTGGTGGTTGATGATTGTTAATAGGCTTATTGGAAACCCTCTTTTTCAATTATAACAAATAATAAAATTTGGTGGAAGGCTGGAACAAATGTTAATGTTATATGTCAGTTATATTTCGTTTAGACAATTTCGTCTCTACTAAGAGGTTCTTTGGTTCTCTCCCCCAGATTTGTGTGGAAACAGGAAAAAGTTCAGGCTTTAGAATGAGTAGATCATGGTGGTTCTTGGGCAAATTACTCCCCATCTCTCAGCTTTGGTCCTAAGGATGATAATACCTTTCACCCTAAAAGAGGGTTAGTGTGAGACCAAATGAGATAGCTTGTGTACACCTGGGACAGAGTAGGTACTCAACAGGAGCTCCTTCTCAGCTCTTCTCGCCCAGTAATTGTATTTAGCCCTCATTCACACCCAGGTTTTAGGAGGAACTTTGTAAGGAAACATTCTGAGTCCTTTCCCACACGATGGCGCTGCTACCTCCTTGTGCTTGAGGGAGACCATCTTTGTCCCCCTGAGCACTTCGGACCCCTCAAGCATTTGATAGGTATTTGCTAATGTCCCAATTTAATAAACCTCAAGAACAGCACAGCCTTTAAAATGAAGTCCGTCCTCCCAAAGGGGCATGAACACTTCTGCAACGATTACTGGTTTTCATTTACATCCTCATGTTTGAGGGCCTGAGCCGTAAACTGGAGAGCCAGAAGTAGATAGTAGCAGCTTAAAATATTGGATGAGTGCCGTAAATATCCACGTAGACCATTTGCTTTTTCCTCCAGGGGCTTCCTTGGCAGAAAATTAAAAAAGGCAAAAAAAAAAAAATGGGTACGTAATTTAAGAACACATGGTGGTGTTTGGTGATACTGTTTCTGTAATGCCTCCCGACTTCCATAATGTTTCCCCATTATGACTTTCATTGAACTCTCACAAGTCCCAGAGGCAGGTAAGAAAGACAATACTGTATTACAGTTAAGGAAATGCTGCCTTCTACCCCTTACCCGCCCTGCGGCTGTGCGGATTATTTAAGTGTTCTAAGCTTACTTTCCTAAGTTTTAAAATGGGAGTTTCAGGATACCTGTGTTTTAGGAGTGCTGCACAGATTATGTGAGATAGTGTGTGAACCATGCCAGCTACATAGTCAGTGTCTAATAAATGGCGACAGTTATAATATTATTAGGTGTAATAGTCCTCACTTCACCGAGGAGGAAACTAAACATGACAGTTTGCCCAAGGCCACAGCATTAGTAGCTGGCAGAACCGGAATGCAAATCGAATTCTGCCTCCGACTTGAGTCCTCTCTCCACCACACCTGAGCCAAGGTGTGTTAAGTCAGGAATATGTCGGTGCGCCTGCCCGCACAACGCCCCATTCTCAGGAAGCTCAACCTCGGGTTCTCTGGTCCACTGATCTTCCCAATGTCTCCTTTTGTATTATTCACAGAACATCATCAAGAAGGTGATTGGGCAGAAGTTTGTGTACAAGTTTGTCTCTTTCCCGGAGATACTGAAAATGGACCCTCACGCGGTGGAGATCAGCCGGGAGAGCCTTTTGCTGCAGGACAGCGACTGCAAGGTGCCTCCTGAGGGCCGTGAGGCGCACCGACACGGCTTGTCAGCCCTCAAAGGCACAAGCCGCAACGAATACATCCACTCAGGCTTGTACTCGTCCTTCACCATTAATTCTTTGCAGAACCCCCCAGAATCCTTTAAGGCCATCAAGACGGAGAAGCTGGAGGAGCCGCCGGAAGACAGCCCTCCCGTGGAAGAAGTCAGGACTGTCATCAGGTTTGTGACCAACAAAACCGACAAGCACATCAGCAGGCCCGTGGTGTCTCTGCCTTCCACGTCTGAGGCCTTCCTGGCCTCGTCCGTCTCAGCCAAGATCTCCTCTTTAATGTTGCCAAATGCTGCCAGCATTTCGTCCGCGTCGCCCTCCTCTTCTCGGTCCCCGTCGCTGTCCCCCAACTCACCCCTCCCTTCTGAACACAGAAGCTTCTTCCTGGAGGCCGCCTGCCATGACTCGGATTCCCTGGAGCCCTTGAACCTGTCATCGGGCTCCAAGACCAGGTCTCCATCTCTTCCCCCGAAGGCCAAAAAGCCCAAAGGCTTGGAAATCTCCGCACCCCCG